AATTAAATCCTGGCATGAACATGTACATAAAAATTGTTCTTCCTTGATTACTAGTAATATCATGCAATTACTTGTTCTAAGACAAAGACTTACCTGACTTACCTAAGTTATGACTATTTTCTGTGAAAATTACAAGAACCCAAAAGAACTTATGTTACTTTTTGACACATTTTCAAAATGACATTCTCTGAAGAAGACAAATAGATCAACAGTTCAATACATTTTAATATTAAGATATTCATCTTATATTTCTTATTTAGACATTTATTTTTAGGATGCTTACCTAAGATGGTCACTCTTACAGAATTACTTTTTAAAAATACATGTAGACTTATAGTGTTGTGATGTTTTTGCATTAGAGTCTCAATTCACTAAAAAAAAATCTGAGTTTTAAGTTTATATGATTTCCATTCCTATTTTATCTCTTTACACCTACTTTATCTTTACACCAAGATTGTGTAATGATGATATAACACAATACGATAATAACATCAAAATGGAAAATTGAACAATGCAAGAGTTGGCATGCATTTGGACACACACAAACTCTACCCTGTCTACTAAATGTTAGTAAAGTAAACTTACTACTAATTTCAAGTACATGAGCAAGTACACCTTGGTAACTCTTTAAGAATGTGGTGGATATTAAGAACATTATAAGATTGTATGAACTGTATGATTGTATGAACATTACAAGATAATATTAACTCTAAATTAACTTATATTTAAAATATGTTAAATGTTTCTGAATACATTTGCTATTTCATGAGGACTACTTTATAAACAAACTGGGACCATGGGTGGGTTGTAGATCCAGGAATTGGTGAATAATGTTACTTCTCCAAATTGTAAAACATTAATGGCAAAGCCAAAGATAGTCACAATGGATAGATACAATATGCTTCTAGGTATGTTTTTTTTTTTTAATGCATAGAGCTTGGAGCCACTCCATATTTCAGAAGTTTTAAGACGATTTAAAAGATGATCAAATGCCCTTATTAGCATTCTATTGGAATATCTGCACTTGGAAAGTTCACAGGTCTAGACGAGTGATCTTCTACATGTTTACAAATTAATTTTAAAACTTCTTTAAGCAATATAAGTATATTCTACAGTCTGTCTGAACTACAGTAGGAAAGTGGAGGTGTGCCTAATAATGTTCAAACTTAGCATGCTCTCAATCTAAGTAATGACTTTTTAAACAATCTTAAACGTACTTCTTTAACCAAATTCCTGATTCTGCAATATCACTCTTTCAGCACCCAGACTCAATTTTTTTTTGTTTACTTTTACTTATTTCAAACATTGGCAGTAATTAAAAGACAGCTTTCCTTATTTTATCTCTGAAATAACTATTTTCTCAGCCAGATTCCAAATTCCTATGAAATTTTTGTTCACTCTTTTACCTTTTCTTTGTTTATATAGATAGTTATTTATATAACTATAAATAAAAATGGCCATCCTCATTCCAGCCTCATGTAACTTAGACCTTTGTGGTCCACAAAGCTTAGTGTATGTATGGTGAATGACTGATAAACATTTAGTGAATGAATGAATAGATGAATATCTCTGTTTCAGATACTAGTGATGGATGAAGTTTTTGTTTTCAACTTAGAGTTCCAACCAAATCTCCCAAATTTATCTTTCACAGATAGAAGCTGTGTGTTAATCAAGGTGAACTTCTTAATGTTCTCTGGCTTTTTCTCAAAGTGATTTTTCCTCCCATCAATGTGGAAGAGTAATAATTACTCTCTTATTTAAACCCCTTTCAACACTTTATAGGCACTACTTTGGGCTCATATTGCTTTTTTATTATAACTTCTCTTCATTCTAATGGACTTACAAAGTGACACTTGCAGTTTTCTCAGTAAAATACAATAACTGATGACCTTGATGTGCAAAAATTGCTCAGGTAATTGGCCACTGCCTAGTATACCTGCATATTTGTATTTTCACCAGCTGAATGGTATGCTTATCAAGAATAAGTTATGTTTATTTTCTAATCAATTTACACTATTCTAAAATACTGTAAGTGTGTAATTTAATCTTGTAGAATTTGAAAAATGCATTTAAAAAGTGTTGTATTTATAAAGACTAAGTCAAAGTCATTGAATAAATGTAATACAGGTAAATCCCCCACATGGATACATGTACATTAAAAAACTATAAAATTAGGTGTGAATAATTATTTTTAAATAGGTACTATTATAAATTTCTAGAAAGAGACTAAATTCAGGTTGCTTTATATGATTCATTAAGATATTTGTCCTCTGGGGGGAAAAAGAAACTAAACAGAAGCAATAGATGATGAATTACAAGTGCAGCTCATGCTAAAGCGTTGATGTAGCACTCCAAATAATGAACCCATGCTACCACAAGGAGTCTAAAGTGATATTTTTATATATGTCATTTTTATTTTGTGAATAAATGGAGCAGTTGAATGTTTGGATGCAGAGGAGTGTATACATCTTTCAGGAACAACATATGATTAAAAATTAGACTTTAAAAATGATTTTCATATTTGGCTTAAGCTCTACTTCCCAAGTCAGCATTTTGCAAAGGGAGGCTGGTAAGCCACATCATGGCTAACCCCTATGATAGA